AAGAATATTTATTTTAAATTAATAAAATGAAGAAAGAAGAAATATTATATTATTATAAAATTTTAGGATTAAATGAAAGAGCTAATGATTTAGAAATAAAAAAAACATATAGTTTTTTCTGTTTTTGTCTTGAATTTTTTTTCTTTTTGAATTTTTGGCATTTTAAATAAAAATATAAAAAAATACATAAAAAAAATATTTTAAACTATGTAAAATATTAAATTGGTCTTTATTTAACCGCTTTTATATTATTAATTTCTTCTGTTAAATCTATGTAGTTAGGATTTTCATCAATTTTCTTTATAATTTTTTCTGCTTCATCAATTATCGTTTGTTTAATATCATCACCAATATTAACACCTTTAAGTGATTCATTTAAAATTTCAGGTAAAGATTCTTTCACAGCATCAGCTATATCATTTTTGATATTTCCTAATTTTTCAAGTAATTTTTGATAAATTTCTTTCCATTGTTCAAGTTCTTTTTCTTGGTCATTTAATAATTGTTGAAGACGAGCAGCCTCTGCGGCTAATTGAACTTTTTGTTCAACAGAATATGACATTTTTTTTAACAAAAATAAAAATTTAATCAGATTTTATAACATTTTATTTAAATTTATTTATATAATATTAATACAATAAAAATATATAAGATAAAAAATTATGATTTCCATGCATCTCTCGTGATTATAACATCTAAATCTTTAAAATATTTATCAAAATTTTTTTGATTCCATGAACCAGCGTGAAATGAACCATCATTTAAAAGATCTTCTTTTTCTGTCTGATCTAAATTAGGATCTTTTAATGCTTCTTGAATCTTTTCTTTAATTTTATTATTTCTAAATAAAAAAATATATATTATATTTTATTTTATTTTATAATAACTGTTAATAAACTTACAAATTAGTATCATTAGAATTAGTTGATTTTTTTCTTACACGTTCTTCAACTATTGGTTTTTCTATCTTTTTGGGTCTTCCAATACTTTGGTATGTGTTTGTTTCTTCCTTTATTCCAACACCCTTAATTTTTTCGCTTAATTTTTCGATCACTTCTCCTGATTTTTCGGTTACTAATTTTTTCATATCATCACTAATGTCAGTACCTTTGAGTGCTTCTTTCAAGATTTCAGGTAGAGATTCTTTCATAACATCAGCAACATTTTTCTTTACGTTAGAAAACATTTCAAGTAACTGTTCATATTTTTCCTTTTCAATATTGATTTCATCTTCTTGATCTTTCAAAAGTTGTTTAATACGCGCAGTTTCTTGATCAAGTATTTTTTTATCATCACTCATATTTTTTTATTTGTTAAAAAAAAAGTATAAACTAATAAATTCAAGTATAAATAAAAAAATATACATTAAACTGACGTAGAAAACAAATAGATATGCAATTGATTGTTCTTTCACATAATCAAAAAATTTAATCTTTCTATATTCATTTAATATTTTTGTTACACTAACTTATATTTAAAAAAAAAAGAAAATTACAATGATTATTCTTTAAATGGACTTGTTGTAATTGAAACGTCTAAATCAGTAAAATATTTATAAAAATTTTCTCCCTTCCAAACCTTAGAATTAAATATACCATCATTCAAAAGATCATTTTTTTCTTCTTGACTTAAATTAGGATCTTTTAATGCTTCTTGAATCTTTTCTTTAATTTTTTTGTTTCTAAATAAACGAAAAAAAAATGTTATATTTTTTTTATTTTTATAATAATTAAATAAAACTTACAAATCAATATCATCAGGATAAAATGATTTTATTTTCACAATTTCATCAATATTTTTTGAATTATCTACGATATTATTTTTCTTATTTAATTTTTCGATCACTTCTCCTGATTTTTCGGTTACTAATTTTTTCACATCATCACCAATATTAATATTTTTAATCACTTTATTTAAGATTTCAGGTAAAGATTCTTTTATTGAATCAGCTACATTCTTCTTTACGTTAGAAAACATTTCAAGTAATTGATCACATTTTCTTTTTTCAATATCAATTTCAACTTCTTGAT